AGTTCGAATTAAGAGCTGTGTAGCCACTTAATTCGAACTAGCTGGAGGCTAGCCCTTCCCAGGTTCCCCCTGGTGGCCACTCTGGGCCAAACCAGGAAAACTCCTCTCCTCTCCCCCAGTATTTTCCGCAAGATCCCGTCTAGACTGGCGCTTTTCTCCGTCAAAACCCCGAGCCGGAAAAAAGCGGCAGCCACGTTCATGCAAATGCCGCGGGAGATATTTAAATCCCCCGCAGCATTTGCAATTCCAACTGGTCTAATCAGCATCCCTTTTCCAGAAAAGGGTGCCAATGTAGACACAGCCTATGAGTACATTTCCCATATCTGAAGAAGAGCTCTGTGAAAGCTCAAAAGCTTGTCTCTCTCCGCATTGGTGGTGAATTATATGATCTATGCTGTCTCTGCACACTCCTCCCTGTATGTCCTCTGGCTAGAGCAGCTTCCTGCTGCTCGCTCCACTCAGCTGCCAGCGTGCGTGCGTGCGTGCGTGCGTGTGTGTGTGTGTGTGTGTGTGTGTGTGTGTCCCAGCAGCTGAAGCAGCACAGAGACACCGCCCAACCCAGCTACAGGAACTCATGCCCAGGGGATTGAGTGGCTGGAAGCAACACAAACCCTGCTGTGCTGCCGGTGGGAGTGGTGGAAGCCCCCAGGGTGTTTTAAATTGCCTAATGCTATCAGGCAGGCTGGGGATTCACGGGGGCTAGTGGAACATATGGGTTGGCAGGTGGACAGTAACTTGTGGAGACCTCTGCTTCTTCCAGCAGCTGCTTCCAGAGGAGTGCCCCAGGTAAGCATTGTACCCCCTGTATCCCCTCACATACCCCAGTTTTACCAGAGCCTACACCCTCTCCCTCCATCCCTCAGATTCCCACATTACCTCCATCCCCCAAACTACCTCCCAGAGCCTGTACCTTGCATCCCTCCTGCAACCCAGTCCCACAACTCCACCCCAGGCCCCCTCCTATACCCAAACTCTCCACCTGTTATCCCTCTTGCACCCAAATTTCCTCCAAGAGCCTGCTTCCTCTCCTGCTCTCCCCCACGATCCCTGCCCCAGCCCAGAGCCTGCACCATCCCAGAGCTTTAGGCTTGGGGGAGGGGGAGAGGTAGAGTAGGGGAGGGGTATAGGCTCTGGGCATTCTGGGCACTTCAAAATTTCTGCAAATCTGCTGCCCCCATCTCTCACCAACAAAAGATATTACCTCATCTACCTTGTCTCTTGAAGTGTGATAGGAAGTGTTACTGTCTGAAGGCTAACTTCTTCACCACTTGTCACAGAAGCAGCTCCATGAAGTTCCTGGGAGTACTCCATGGAGTACAGTTGGGAACACCTGTTAGTTGTTACTGTGATGATGAAAAAAAAAAACCCAGCAGTCCTTCTTAAATTTATTCAAACTTGAAAAGCGGGGGAATCTTTCTTCTTTGTGAACAGAGTGGAGAGCCACAACTTCTTAATGTTACATTGTGCTGTTGGCTTTGTGACTCTTATGTAGCACCGTCACTGGGTAAAGACAATATCAATGTCACAGTGCACCTTAAGGCTGTTGTACCATGATTATCTTGAGACTCTTGGTGACTCTTGACACAATTTGTCCTCCTTCTCTGTTTCTTTCTCTCTTCCCCCTCTCCTGTTCGTTGGAAAGTTGGAGTGTTCCTCCTCTGTCTCTACTCACTCTTTTCTAGGCTGTGCAGAGGCTGGAAGCTTTAGTCTAGTTCTTTAGGGCTTCATGTGCATCTTGACATGTTCCTGGCAGTATTCACGTTATCAGTACTTTGCTTGTTCTGCTTTCCACCAAACAGCCAGTGTAAGAGGATCGTAATCAAAACCATGTAAAAGTTAATCACTTTGCCAATGCAAAAAGCTGCACGAGGCTCTAGAGTCACAGGCTGAATATCACTTTTCTCCATTATGTAAAGCTCTCTAAAATACTCCAAGATTTTTAAGAGGCATTTTGTGGCACCTGAATCTACAAAGTGAACTAAGGGTCATATGCTCCCCACTGTTGTGTGGCATGTAGGAGAGTTAAAGCATTTTAATTGCACATAAAAGGGTTTATGGGAGACTTTGGTCTATAAGGCAACTGTGTGTTATGTTTTTCTGCCAGACTACCTCCTTGCCTGAAGGAGGGTATTGCCTAGCAGTGACGCGAGGAAATTGCTGCTCTGCATTGCATGTTTCCCTTTGCCAATGCAGAATTTATTTGCATCTGGTGTTTTGGTTCTGCCCATTATAGAAATACTAGCAGGTTTACCCGGTGTTGCTCGGGTCCTTAACTCAATTTATTCTTTTTTTTTGCGTAAATAAAGTGAAAATGTACATGCTTCATATGAATCGTTGCTCTTGGTGTGTGAGGGGCTTGGGCTGAGGGGGTCAGAATGCAGGCTATCCAGGGAGAGAGAATTACCCTAACCCACTCTCACCGCAGCAGCTAAGGCCAGGTGAGACATGCCTATCCATGGCCACTGCAGCTTCAGGAGTGCATGTCTCCTGACTGGGGGAAGTCGAGGTTCATTTGTCCCCTGTACTCCCCAGCCAGAATGAGGAATGCAGCAAACTTCACTTTCTACTCCCTGACAAAGGGGAACAGACAGCAATGTTCCCCGTACAAATTGGAGGAAGGGAAGTTTCAGCGCCCTCTTTACCCCAAAGGGCACCTAAGGGATGGGAGGCTTGGGGTTGGGTGTGCACCTCCAGCCAGCCCTTTTCACCTGCCTAATTATTCTATTTTCTGTTTGGTTTTATGAGAAGCAATCCCACTCCAGGCACATCCCATTTTCCTGGCACAACCAAACCCCTACCTTGCTTTAAGTTGTGATAAAAGGAAGCAGTATATTTAATTTGATGGTCCTAGCTCTTACCATTTAGGACAGTGGTATGCAGCCCACTGGGGCTCCATCTGTGGCCCATGGACCCCCGGATATCCCTCTCACTCACATGCCTCTTGTGCAGTGGGGCACTGGAGCCCCACACTTACCTGCTCCTCCCTATCCCTTCCAGCACATTTAGAGTGCATGAAACATCTTATTTGCACTTTGTCCCTGTTCCTCCCCTTCTCTTTTAGAGCTGGAATGCCATGAATCAGCTGGAGTGGGGGGAGAGAAAAGGCCCTTAACGGTTGGGGGAGCTAGGGAGTGGGAGAAAAAGGCCTCAGTCAGCTTGGTGGGGAGTCTGGTGTGGGAGAGAACAGGTCCTTGGGGGCTGCAGGGGAGGAGAGGAGGCCCCTGGCACCGTGGGGAGAAGCGAATAGGCTACTGCGGGGCAAGAGAGCAGGCTGCTGGTGGGCTGAGGGAGGGCTGGGCGGAGAGGGGGGAAGGGAACAGGCCCTTGGTGCGCTGGGGAGATGGAAGAACTGGCCCCTAGAAGGCTGGGGGTTCTGGGAGGAGGGAGAGAAAAAGCCATGGGCAGAGAGGGACCTTGGGGGCGAGAGAATAGTTCCCTGGAGGGCAGGGAAGGCCTGGGGGGTAGGGAGAGAACAGGCCCAGGTGGGAGGGGGGGACCCCCTGTCCTGAGCCCCTCTTCATCCCCCTACCTTCACTCTCACATACACCCTCTACACACACATCCACAAGGCCCTGCCAGGTAAGTCTGTTAGTATTTATATACTAGAACACTTCATTTCTTGTTTGTTTTCCCACAATGTCTTCTCAAACACATCCATATACACCCACAAATAAACCCTGTGACCCAAGTAATGTAATTTAATAGACTGAGGGTATGTCTACACTACCCCGCTAGTTCGAACTAGCGGGGGTAATGTAGTCATCCGCAGTTGCAAATGAAGCCCGGGATTTGAATTTCCCGGGCTTCATTTGCATGAAGCC